GCTCCCTGTCCCCTCCCCAGGCTGGCCTGTCAGGCCATGCGACAGCTGCACCCCGAAGCCATCACCGCCATCCAGAGCAAGGTGCTGTTCAGCAAAACCGAGGAGCAGCTGCTGAGCAAGGTGGGATCGGTAAGTCTCGCTCGGCCTCCCTCTGCGCGCAGGGCACGGTGACAGCCGGACGCTGGGCCAGGTGGGATCGGAACGGCTCCGGCAGCCGGTACCCGCTCAGCCTCCCTCTGCGCACCGGGCACGGTGACAGCCGGACGCTGGGCCAGGTGGGATCGGAACAGCCGGTACCCGCTCAGCCTCCCTCTGCGCGCCGGGCGCAGTGACAGCCGGACGCTGGGCCAGGTGGGATCGGAACAGCCGGTACCCGCTCAGCATCCCTCTGCGTGCAGGCTGCGGTGACACCCGGACTCGTGCTCCTGGCGAAAGGGACCCCGGAGTCCTGTCCCTGCCGGCTGGGGCGAGAGTCTGGACCCGGGAGGCGCGCGGCTCCCTCTGCCCGGGGGGGGAAGGGCCGTCTCCGCCGGGTGTCCTTCACCAAAGCACCCTGCAGCCAAACGGTTCCAGTGCCCCCCGGGGAGCCCCGTCAGCGGGAGCTGCGCTGGCCTGGCCCGGGGCTCCCGGTGCGTGTGCCGTGGTTCCTGGCTCCTTGCCCGATTGCCCAACGCTCGCGCCCCGGCTCTGGCTGCTGCCCGCACCGAAATCCCAAGAGGTCGATGCCTTAGGAAAGCCTTGGGGAGTCGCCAGGCCATGTCCCCTGCCCCATGGAGAGCCCAGCAGCTTCCCTGAGCCCTGCCGAGCCGAGCCCCCCTGAGTGGTAGCCCCAGGCCGAGCCCTGGCCGCCGGCCCTGTGATCCTGGCCTCGAACCCCCAGGCTCCCGCTGCCGGCTTGGGGTCCAGCCGGCGTCCCGGAGCCGGGGGCTGTCCTGCCCCCTAGTGGTGGTTGACCCGTCTGTCCCGCAGACCAGCCAGCCCACGCTGGACACCTTCCAGGACCTGCTGCACAAGCACCCCGAGGCCTTCTACCCGTCGCGCACGGCCAAGGCCCTGCAGCTCTACTGGCAGCTGATGAAGCAGTACTACCTCCTGGACGACCAGACAGGTAAGGGCTGGCCCGAGCGGGCAGCCCATCTGCCCCGGCTGGGCCGGGCACAGGAGCCGGAGCCCGCGTCAGCACCGCCCAGCGGCTGCTGGGACCGTGCTGACACTCCCCCCCGCCCTCTGCTTCCCTTCAGTGCAGCCGCTGCCCAAGGGGGACCAGGTGCTGAACTTCTCGGACGCGGAGGACATGATAGACGACAGCAAGCTGAAGTGAGTGTCCGCGGGGGGGGCCTTCCCGCCAGGGCGCAGCCCCAGCTGCACAGCGCGTGCCACGGGCCATATCCCCTGGGCAGCCCGGAGCCCCTCGCGCCGATTACCATCCGGCCCGAGCTGCTGCAGCCGCTGCCTGGTGCTTCCTGTCCCCCGGAGCCCGGCTCCGGCGCTGGCTCGCTGGCTGGCTGCAGCGTGGCCCAGGGCCGAGCAGGCCCGGCTGCCCTTGGCGCCCTGCGGGGCAGACATGAGGCAGATGGCCGCAGAGGGCCCGTGCTGGGGCTGGGTCCAGGGGCTGGCGTGTTAGGGATCCGGCCTGCGAGGCACCCCATGGGC